GTAGCTGGGACTACAGGCATGTGCCACCATGCCCGGCTAATTTTTTCTATATATATATTTTTAGTTGTCCAGATAATTTCTTTTGACTTTTAGTAGAGACGAGGTCTCCCTCTTGCTCAGGCTTGTCTCGAACTCCTGACCTTGGGCGATCCACCCGCCTCGGCCTCCCAGAGTGCTAGGATTACAGGCTTGAGCCACCGCGCCTGGCCTATGTTGTTTTAATGAGCTTGTAAAGGAACTTCGCACTGCTGTTAGCTTGTAAAGATATTTATGATACATTGTTTCATGGGACAAGGCAAAGGGTAGGTGAGCGGGTCTGTAATGGGGTCCATGTTTGCTTTTTAAATAGAGGGGACAGGGGAGGGGAGGTGCAGGTGGCACCATGCTGGGTGATGACAGAGCCTCCCTCGCGGGCTGCTGTGAATTTCAGTGCTCGCGGCAAGCACCCAGTGCAGAGAAAATTGTTAAATATCTTTTGCATGATTATTCTTTGAAGATGTTGGAAGCGTTTAGTCCAAACAAGGAGACCCCCAACCAGGCCCGTATATGGGATGGCGCCATCTCCAGATGCGCTGCCCCAGAGCCTGGCCTCCGTGGATCACCTCGATTTGGGTGCGGCAGATGGGGAGTGGGCTGGAGGTCAGAGGGCAGCGTGGCATTTGCCCCACTTCCATGGCCCCTCCGGCCCCTCCCTGCCGGCCCACCCCCAGTGGTCTGCTTTTCCCTCCTGCGGCCACAGCCTGTATCCATGCATCCTGGGGACCGATCCCTCCCGCGCCCTCCAGGCCTGGGTGCTGAGGGCTGCCCTCAGGTGCCAGCCCACCGAGCAACCACCCTCCTCCCTCGCCTTGCTCTGCCTGCACCCTCGAAACGTGTCCCATTATGGAAGCCCCTCCATTGCCTCTGTACCCTCCTCGGCCCTAACTGCCTGGTCCTCACCACGCCCTGTCACTCTGCTAGGCCGTGAGCCCCTTGAGGGCAGGGGCCAGGTGTGCCAGCACAGGGCCCGGCACAGCAGGCGGCCACCAATGCTGAATGAATGAATGAATGAATGAATGGGCAAACGGTGACTAACCCGTAAACGTCCACGAAAGAAGTCTTACTTCTAGATACGAACCTCTCAAAGCTCCTCACTCGTTCAAACAGCTCATGCTTTGCCCGAACCAGAGTTCCCACATCACCGCGGGGACACATGGTCACCTGGAAGGGCCTGGACCTACATTGCCCGTGAGACCCGATGACGGCCACCTTAGGTTGTTAAGTTAATTAATCCATCAAGTGCCACCTGGTGGCCTCCACTTTACCAGGACAACACTGCCATTTTTCACCCTTTTTAGAGCCAGGGACTGAACTTTGCATTTCACGGACACGCCCAACATTTGAAGAGAAGAGGGTTCTTTGAAGCCCAGAGAGGTTGATCCATGTGGCCAAAGTCTCGAGACCACACGCTGGACAGACACCCAGGGAGGCAGACACGTCATCAGGCCACTCACCGAGTCAAGAGCAAGACAGCAGGAGCCTGAGAGGCCCTGAGATGGGGCACCGAGAAGGACACGTCCCTCTGCCCGAGAGGGCTGCTGAGATGCCACAGAGCGGCCGGGAAGGGTAAACGGAGCCTGCCAGGTGGGGCGGGGGTGGCTTTCCTGGGAGAGGGGACAGTGAGGGCCAGGCCCGGGGTCCTCCAGCTGCCTCTGCATGGGTGGGTGTGAGACCCGAGGGAGAGGACGGCAGGAGTGACCGGCTCCGTCACTGAGGACCACGGGCCGTGGCGGAGATGGGGAGAGGGCGCGGCGTGGGGTGCTGTGTGAGGCGGAGGGGACCAGACGAAGGGGCGCAAGCTCCGCCTGGCCTCAGGCTCCGGAGGGTCCCGACCCTCGTCCCAGGAACCCACTGGCCAGCCAGAGACGAGCTTGTCCAGGGCCCACCCCTGTCCCTGAGCCACAGCCCCGGTCGGGGAGTGGGGGAACCCTTGTCCTCCCCCATGGCCACAGCCCTGAAAGGGGACCTGAGACTCGGCCCTGCCTGAGGTTTGGCAGGACGACAGAACTGGCCCAGAGGGACAAGGCTAGAGGAGGCGCCAAGGCGGTCGGGGAGGCTCCTCGGAGGACACACCCCAGACACCCCACTCCTCACCCCCTCCCGTCCCCGACCCTGTCCCTGGCTCCCCGCAACCCAAGACCCTGCCCCGAGCCCTCCGCAGCGCAGGGTCTCCCAGGCTTGGCGGGAGGGGCGAGGAGCCGGCTGCTCACCTGAGGCCAGCAGCAGCAGCAGCAGGGCCCCCAGGCCGCTGGGCGTCACCATCCTTGGCCAGCCTTGCCTCCGGCCAGAGCCCTGTGGCTGTCTGGCCTCCAGGCCCGGGTCGGCTGAGCTAGCCCTCCCACCCCGCCCCGCCGCTTCCTGTGCGCTCTTTCTCACCCTTCCTGCTCAATGGCGCCATCGGTGGGGTTGTGAAAGGTGAGGGTGGGGAACTGGGCAGTGCTCCCAGCCTCACCCCGCCGTGAGTCCACCTGCAGAGGGAGCTGCTGCACCCACCGGGAGTGCTCCCAGGGCCCCACCGGGTGGGTGCTGCGGGGATGGGGTTTCTGAGCCTCAGAGGCCTCCACCCCGGAGCAGACCCCTGGGAATAGTGATGAGCACGGGCTTTGGAGTCAGGCACACCTACACGCACCTCTCCTCTCATAAGCTGGGGGCCTCTCTGAGCCTCGGTTTCCTCCTCTGTAAAGTGGAGATCGCAATGAGGCTTGTCAGGGTTTGATGAGACCGGCAACAAGCTGGGCGCAGAGCCTGGCTCTAGGCATGAGGACGAAGACATGGACGGTGCCTCTGGCTTGAGCCAGGCTGGAGGTGTCGGGGGAGAGCGTTAGCTGGCCCTGCGGCCCGAGCCTCCCCGACAGCCTGGATGACAGGATGGGCTGTGACTGTTATCACTTTCTGATCATCAGTGCTGTGAAATTGTTGTCCTCAGCCCCCGGCTGGTCACTGCTGGCCCAGGCGGGAGGCAGGGGCAGCCGATCTCTGTGGGCCGCGGCACGAGGGGAGGGCAGGGCCGACCACTCCGGCTCCGACTCAGGTGGCTCCAAGGAAGCCCTGCGGATGAGGCTGGGCCCCGCTCGGGGATCAGAGCGGAAGGGTGCGCCACCAAGAAAGTGTGTCCTTACCAGCACCCGCCTCAGGCCCACGAGGCCGGAGCTAGCCTTGGGGTCCAACTGGGGAGCCGCCCGGCCCCAGCTGGCCTCTGTTTCCCCTGCCCCCTGCACGGTGTCCAGACAGGCCTCGTCCCGGCTGAGCCCTCCGAGCCTGGGGAGGGCTGGGGCGGGAATGTCGGGGTCACTGGTCGGGGGTGGGAGGCAGTGGGAACCTGGTGTGGGGCAGCAGGTCAGAGCCCAGGGCTTCCTGAGCCCCAGAAACTTCCTCTGCAGGGAAGGTCGGGCGGGCAGATGGGAACTGCTCGGCCTGCCCCGCCTCCTGTCCCGGCTGCGGCGGCGGGGAGGTGAAATGGTGGGCTCAGCCATGCTGGGCCCGCCGCTGGACCCCAGCCCCACCACTGACGCCTGGGCCCCCAGAGGGGCTCGCCCGTGCCAGTTTGTGAGGAAGGGCCCAGAGGTCTGCAGACCGGGACGCAGAGCGATCAACCCACCTGGGAAGGCAGGACCAGGGCAGCTGGGAAGGTGACAGGTGAGGGTCAGGCGGGACCAGAAGGAAGGCCACCTTTCCCTGCAGCCCCTTCTCTGAAAGTCTCCCCTCCCAGGCCCCACAGGGACAGGGGACTGGTGCGGAGCCACTTACAGAGCCCCGGGACCCCCAAATCCCAGGGCAAACAGAACCGTAGCTTCCCTTTCTGCCACCTCGTGTCCCCAGCTTGTCCTCCGGCCAGACCCCCTGGCCACTCTAATCTACTTCCCATGCCAGAGGGATGCTCCCAGGCGCAGACCTGGCCGTGTCCCGGTGGAAGGGGCGATCCTGTTGTCTAAAGCCCCGCAGCCCAGGAAGTGCGTGATTAGGACCATCGAAGGAGCGCCAGGGCGCTGTCGCGATGGGCCTATCAGAGGAGGTGGGACCTGACCAGGACCCCTCCCACCACCTGCACCGGCAGAACTGAGATGCTCACGAAAAAGGGGAATTTGTCCGAGGGGGGCGCTCTCTGCCTGGCTGGAGGGCCCGGGTGCTTTCCCTCCCTCCTTGGGGATGGGGGCGTCGCCTCACCTCTCCCCCCAGGCCTAGCCAGCCGTGGGGATGGGGAGACTCCCCCGCAGAGACCCACAGGCCTGTGAGGAGCGAAGCTGGCTCTGATCCCGCTGGGCCGATCAGGACGCTGGGGGCGGGGGCTTGTGAAGATTTGGCCTCTGTCCTCAGCCATCCCCTGCCTGGAGAAAGGTGGGGCAGAGGCCGAAGGAAGGAACTTGGGGGTCGGGAGAACAGCAGGTCGCAGGAGGTTCCCACACACCGAGGCCCCTGTAGGTCCCCAAAGATGCCACATTCATGCCTCTCAGAGGGTGCTGCCAGTCTAGCCCTGGCTGCCAGCGTGTTCTCACACCCGTCCCACCCAACCCCAGAGACTGGAGCCTCTTCCCCTGCCTGAGCTCCCCGGGACAGCCAGGAGGGGGGGAAGGAGGCTGCGGCAGGGAGAGGGCTCTGCTGGGGGCCGGGCGCGGGGCTGAGTCAGAGGCAGGGGGACTTCACGCCTGCAAACCTGGCTGCTCCCCGTCGGGGTGGGGGACAGACTCCTACGCCACCTGCCTCACCCAGGTCACAGGATGGGGAGGAGAGATTTGGCGGGACGAGGTGGAAGGCAGGGAGGGAGATCAACTGGTTAAATATGTCACAGGACCTGGCATGGCTGGATACAGCCCTCGAACGTGATGTTTTTGGCCAGAGAATTTTTTGGGCTCGCCACAATTTTTAAATCAGGATTTCACACCCCCATCTGGATTTCTCGTTTCTTATAAAAGACAGGTGGTCTGGCCCCTTGGGCCCTCATCCCTGCAAGGCAGTGACCAGCCAGCCAGAGCTGACGAGCGGCCACCCCCTCAGCATGGGGTTTGGATTCTCCAGTTCGCCGCAGACCCCACCTCTCCCCATTGTCCCCCTAACACCGACACCAAGTTGCCTTTTGTCCTCCCCCTTGCCCTGGTTGACAAGACTTCCAGCAGTTGACTTTCGGCCCCACACGTAGCCCTCTTCTCTCGTTCCTGTTCCCTGATTGGCCCCCAAGTGTTTGCATTAGTAACTCTCTTAACAGAAGCCCAGAGAAAAGCTCAGAAGAAAATGCTCGAAAATGCTCACACCCGGTTAGGTGATAACGACAGTTGTTTTTTATTTTTCGTCTTGATATCCTTCTACGGTTTTCAAATTCTCTACAACAAACATGTACTTCTTTTCAGTATCAAAAGACAAATGCGTTGCTACTTAAAAAGAACATCCTCTACGTGTCTAAGGCTGAGATCAAGTTCAAACGCTACGTCCTACAGAAAGTCTTCCTGCAGTCCCAGCCAGGAGCGACGGCTCCCTGACCCGTGCCTGCAGCTGCAGGGTGTCTGGCCTGGTGCACGCCTCGCACACCAACTAGACTGAGCGCTCCCAGCGGGAGCGACCAGGTCTGGCCGCCGTGTCCCTCCCACCCAGCAAGGACCGGCGCTTGCCTAGCGTGTTTGTGGGACGGACAGCTGAGTGTGTCTGGAGCCATTTCCAGGGATTTGGAGAGGATCCCTTAGCAAAGTGTTGGGCTCTAGGCCGATGTCACCAGAAGAGGTAGGTCTCAGTCCTTGAGTGCTGGGATGGAACAAGATGGGACTGCCACGGTCCACAGTTCTTGCCACAGGAGAGGGCTTTGGGAGAGGCTGAGGCCCCCCCAGGTGTGTGCTTGGCCATGGTGAGCAGGGGGGATGCAGCTCAGAGGGGGCCCGGGAGGACAGACGACCTAGCCCAGCCCGTGAGTCTACGCTAAGCCTGAGTGGGGGCAGGCCAAGGCCTGGGCAGCAGACAAAAGTTTACAGCAGGCACCAGGAAGCCCTTGGGAGCCACCACCCAAATCACAGCGTGGGAACCGGGGCCCCAGGCTGGGGGAAGGACTGGGGAGGCCCCGGGAGAGGAGGCTGATGGAGGGGGAGGGCCCGGGGCTCAGAGTTAGACTAGCTGCTCTCTGTCCCAGGGAGGGGCCTCTCCTCCTCCAGGCTCTGGCCCCATCGGACCCAGACGCCACCCTTAGGTGAAAACAATAGGAGCTGCAGAGTGTCCGCAGGTGACACCAGAAATAGAGCGGCTAGGGCCACATTTCTGTCCTGGGCAGGGGCGCGGGGCCGAGGATGTGCCAGGCCTCCCAGACCCAAGGCCTGACCCCCAGCAATGAGGGCTGGGCCCAGGGGTGGTGAGGACAGCCCCGGGTTAGGACAGCTGCGGGGACGGTCCCACAGCCAGCGTGGTGGCACACTCCTGAGTCCCCTGGGAGCTGGATCCGACAGCCGAGTGGCTTCCAAGGCCAACTCAGAAGGCCCGGCCTGGGAGTCCAGTTGCCATGACAACAGCCCCATCCCTCCAGGGTCCTCGGGCTGTCTCTCAAGTCTCCGACTGACGGCCGGGCCGGCCCGGCTGCAGGGGCCACAGGCAGTGTGAGGCGAGGCCGCGGGCGGGTGGGCGGCCTAGGTGCGGCTGGACGAGGTGCTGCCTGAGCTGATGGGGAGCCTGGCGCTGTCCGAGTTGCTCTTCAGAGCGGAGGGCCCACCCCGGGCCTGCAGCCGCATGGACCAGTACCAGAGGAAGATGAGGAAGCCTGGGGGCGGCGGGGACACAGGGCTGAGCAGGCTGGAGCAGCCCCTCCGTCCCCATCCCCTGCCCCAGCTGGGCCACCTTGACTCGGATCTGCCCCGCCCCTCCCCCAGCCTCCCCTCGGCATGTGCTGCGGGGCACCCACACGGCCAGGGGGCCCTGCTGTGCACCGGGCATGAGCCGCGTCCCTGCATGTCCCCTCACTGCGTTCTCTCAAGGTTCCGAGAGGTCGGTCCTAGTCATTGCTATTTTGTCACACAAACGAGGAAGCTGCGGCCCCGGTGAGGGGACTTGGCTGAGCCAGGGTTCCAATGGTGGTGAAGAGGCTCCTCCAGAGCCCCCCATTTAAGCACCGTGTGATGTTGCTGCCCCCACAAATGACGCTGCTATGACTTATGGACAGCTCGGTGATGCGTGAACGCAGGGCCTTCCTTGCATCCTCACCGCTGAGAGATGAAGACCCGAAAGTGAAAGAGCTGGAATCTGGCAACGTCTTCCTCCTCCTGCAGCCCCTGCTTCTGCTCTAGGGTGACCCGGGAGGGAGGCTGGCCTTGCCACCGTGTGAGCCCCGGGTGAGTCCCCTCCCCACTCGGCACGGCCAAGAACAGAGGGGTCTGTGTGTGCCTGTGTGTGTGTGTGTACGTGCGTGTGTGTGTGTGTGCATGCGTGCAAGTGTGTGTGTGCGTGCGTCTCTGCGTGGAGGAGGCAGGGGTGCACAGCTGTAGGTGGGGCAGGAAGGGACCCTGCTGGCATCAAGCCGGGCCCATGTGATCCTGCCCCTCTGCCCCTCATTCACTCCCCTTTGGACACCCGACTTTGTCCCGACCTCAGGACCTTTGCTCTTGCTTCTCTGTCTGCCTGGAATGCTCTTCCCCTAAACCAGCGCTCCTCCCCCTGTAATGTGCACATCGACCCCGGGCATCGTGTGAAAACGCAGATTCTGTTCCGGCCAGTCCGGGGTGGGCCACGTGCTGCGTTTCTAACACGCTCCCGATGCTGCTGCTGCCCCTGGACCACAGCTGGAGTAGAGAGGCCCAAGATCTCTCCATGGCTGGGTCTTCCTGCTCCTCACGTGTCCCCTGTGCAAGAGAGGCCACCCCGGCTGCCTTCCCTAGAGTGCCCCCAGCCCAGCCCAGGCCCTGCCATCATGCTGCCCACTTCGCTTCCCTGCTCTCTGAGGTCACCTCCGATGGCCACGTGCTTTCTTATCACACTCAGTCTTCCCGCAAGAGCAGAGCTCCCCGAGAGCAAGGCCCACGCCCACCCAGCTCACACCGTAGCCCCAAGGCTTAGCATCGGCCCGCACATAGTAGGTGCTCAACTGTGGCCTGGGTGCCCCCATTTTATGAATGAGAAGACCAAGGCCCAGAGAGGGGAAGCCTTCGGGTCCCCCAGGTCATCTCTTCCCTGCTTCGTGTGCCATGTCTGGACATCCCGTCTGGGCCAGGGGGCCGCGGTCTTCCCATACCCACCTTGGAAGGAGGTGATGATGCTGAAGAGGTAGAGGACGACAAGCCGGAAAGTGCCAGAAGCAAAGGAGAAGAAGACCAAGGCCCAGGGCAGGCCGAGGACCAGGCTGAGGCCCAGCAGCGTCAGCACGTGGGACCACTTTTGGGTGTGCGGGCGCAGCCGCAAGATCTGCACCACCATGGTGCCCAGCATGGCCATGTTGAACAGAAACACCAGGCTGAAGAGGCCCAGGTTGGTGACGTAGCTGACCAGGGAGTCCCGGATCCAGCACCTGGGGGAGGGGGAGGGCTCAGCACACAGCCGGGCTGCGGCAGCATTTCCTGGGCCGTTGTGGCTGTCACCGTTGTCACCATGTTTGTTTTCATGATGACTCGCTGTGTATGGCAAGTGCTGCTGGTTTTCTACTTATAGTGTTGATGTGATGGTTTAAAAAAATACGTTTATGCTAACAAGTCAGATGATTTAAAGAAAAATATGAAGAAAATAATGATATCGATGGTACCCGAGTGAGGCAAAAATCGCAGGGTCATGATGTGAAGGGCTGAAAATTTCAAAACACTGAGCCAACGGCAAGGACTCCTGCCCAGCCTGGAGCTCAGGAGCCCAGTTGAGGTTCAGAGCCATGCACGGGCAGGGCCACTGCCAGGCTGGGCAAATTAGGCGCGTGGGGAAGGACTGCAGCTCAGCCCCACTCGTCCCCTGCCGTGAGCAATGCACTGGCCCTCGGGGTGGCCAAGAGTGGCCCTGCCCTCTCTGAGCCTCCGTGTTTCCATCTGCAGGGGACACAGAGTGCAGCCAAGGAACACGGCGGGGCCCCTCTGCCCCAATCCCCACCCCCACTCACAAATGAGGAAACCGAGGCTCAGAGAAGGGCTAGGGCGTGCAAGGTCACCCGAGAGTCGGTGGCAGCTCTGGGCCATTTCTCAGCCTCCATGACCCTTAGACCGCTGCTCCAGCCACCGCCAGGCCAACACCTCCAGGGGACTGGGACCCAGGCGGCTCCTGGCTGGCATGACCTGGGCTGCTCTCTGGCCTCTGCACCCAGAGGTCCACATTCCTGTCCCCATCGCACACAGCCACTCACATGGAAGGGTAGATGACACTCTCTGGAGTCCTGTGCACGGCCAGGATGATGGGGCCGTAGTTGTCGACGTCCACCAGTGCCACCAGTGTCACCAGGAAGATGGGGAAGCCTGAGGACAGCAAAGCGTGGAGCTCCATCCCCACCCTCTGAGGCCTGGGCTCCCATCTGGGGAAGGTCCCCCAAGCTTGGACCCTCCCTTCCTCTTTCCAGTTCGGGTTCCCCATAACAGGAATCCACCTCCTCTAATGAGACCCGGCCCCTCACCATCCTGGGGCCCCCAGGAGAAAGGCCTGCAGCTCCCTGGTGTGGGGCCGGATGTCACAGGAGAGACGGGACGGGCAAGAGTGCTGCCCCCAGGGGATGTCTACACTGGGCCTTGACCTCGTCCATTAGGTAGAGATCGAGGGCTCCCTGGAGGGGGCTGCCCCCCGCCAAACACCTGGGTCCCGACACAGAGCCAACCCTGAAGGACTGTCACGCGAACGGAGGGCGTGAACAAAGAAGGAGCCAATGAGAAACACGGGAGGAGCAGCAGGTGGGGTCAGGGACAGGTGGGGTCTGTGCGCCCCTGGGCTGTGGGTCTGACATGAGAGGTCTGGGCCATAGGTGAATCGGACTGCTGTTGGCCAAGAAGAAAATGCCAAAGCCACGGGGAATCTGTTACCTGAGGTTCAGGGGGGTTCACAGGCAGGGCCCTGCCAGCCTGAGTGAATTCGGTGAGTGGAGGAGGACTGGATTTCAGCCCCACTGACCTCCCAGCTGTGTGCCTTTGAGCAGTGCACAACCTGCACATCCATACACTGCGGCCCTGCCCACAAATCCCCCTTGAATGGAGTGAGTGACGTGGAGGATGGGAGGGTTTCTTGAGGACAGAGCTCATCCCTTCATCTTCCTAAAGGGGACCTTGACCCGGCCAAGGTGAGGCACACCTGAGGATGGGGGAGGGCAGCAGTGGGGGGAGGCAGAGTGATGGGCGGAGAAGCAGAACAGGCTGCCTGTGTTTTGACAGAGCCAAGTGGGAGAGGTGGGTCTGGGGGGCCCGCTAACACCCCACCCTGAGCCAGGAGGCAATCCCCACCCCATCCACCTACCCCAGCCCACGACGCTCAGCTTGAGCAGGTAGCCGGGGACGTAGGTGCCGAAGACCTCGACCACGAGGCGGTAGAGGTTGTAGCCCTCCAGCCCCATCCAGGAGAGGCAGGAGAGCAGTGAGAAGTGCAGGAAGATGGCGCTGGCGCGGCAGCCAGCCTCGGAGCCCGTCAGGGCCACCGGCTCGCTGAGCAGGAAGCTCACGTCCAGCAGGAACACGGCCAGCAGCAGGTTCATGTGCACCTTGATCGTGTAGTCCCGAGGCTTCCTCCTGCACGGCAGGGGCACCCTGGTGGGCCAGTGCGGGAAGGCAAAGAGGGGAGTGTGCTCCTCCTCCTCCAGGAAGCCTTCCCAGACTCCCCCACCACCCCAACACACACACACACACGCACACAAGCATACACACTCCCTGTCCCGCTCCTGTGGACGCACATGACACAGCTGCAGCTGGGCTGTTCCCCACTTCTCCCCGCGCACCTACTATGTGCCCGGCACCCACGGACTCGGGCACCACGTGCACATTTAACAGAAGCTGTCGCCAGGCAGAGCGAGAAAGACAAATTGGCTACTGCAATAAACCAGACACTCCCCAAGTCGGGGAGGAGACTCTGGCGTTGCTGCTGTCTTGGAGATTCCGCGCCACCCGCGGTCTGCGTCTGCGACCTGCACCGCGCTGCGGCCGTGGGTCTGTGCGGGGCGTGCATCGCCTGCTCACGGGTCTGCAGGTCAGTGCGCACATCCCGCCCCGCCCCAGGAGGCTAAGCAGCCCTCGAGGGTGGAGCCAGATACTCAGACTACAGCGTCGCAGTCCTGGATTCCACTCTGCCCAGCCCCTGGCTGGTGGCACCACCTTGGGCCTCTCCCTTCCCCCTGAGACTCTCAGTTTACCCCTCTGTGCAGTGGGAGGATGGTTCCCCCTCTTAGGCCTGGGGTGAGATCACACTGATACAAAGCATCTGGCACAGGTAAGAGCAAACCAGTTCCTAAGGGTTCCTGCCCCTGTGTCCCTGGGTGACCTTGTGATCAATTAGGTGTTGGGGGGCTACTGCCCCCGCCCCCGGCCTTCTACCGAGCCCATCAGCTGTCCCTCATCACCATCACTGACTTAGCCCAACACGTGCACAGCTGTGGACATGCACGACATAGCCATATATGCGCATGCGCGCGCGCGCGCGCACACACACACACACACACACACACACACACACACACACACACACACCCCTCCACTCTCAACTCTGCCTGGTCGAGGACACTGAGGGCACTCCAAGTGTCCCCCAGAACTAAGGGTGTCTCCCCTCCACCCAAACGGGCCCAGGGCCTGACTGTAAGGGGACCCCAATTTAGGCCAAGCCAAGCACTGACAAGCTGACAACCTCTGCTGCTTCCTGCTGTGTGACCTCAGGTAAGTCACTTACCCTCTCTGAGCCCTCCTTCCTAGGGCCTTTGTGAGGATGAACCAAGCTCACGCCTGTAAAGCACTTAGAACAGTGCGTGACACGTGGGAAGCTGGATGTGAGCGTTAACTGTCCGCATTATTGTCGCCATTATATTATCACGTGCACCCGGGGGTCTCACAGGTGCTCATCCAAAGGCAGAAATACAGATTCTTACGTGAACTCTCCCTATTTTAAATGTTGGCAATTAATTAAAATTTGTAGATGCTATTTCATCCAAACACCACAGATCTGAGGAGGAAATGTGGCCCCCGGGGGTCAGCAGGCTGCACCCCCGTGGGTCCCCCGCCACCACGCATCCATTTTGGGGTCAGTCGGGCAGGCTGATCTCGGGGCTGGGCTCCGCGGCGGCGGGGTCCTGGCCAGGGGTGCGGAACGGAGGCCCTCCCCCCTCACCTGGAGCAGAGGTGGGCGGCGACGGTGAGGACGCAGGCCAGGGCCGAGACGACGCAGCCCACGTAGGAGAGGATGCTCAGGTAGTGCTTGTGCGCGGCGTCCACCTCCACGGAGGAGACCTGGGCCCGGGGACAGAGCAGGGCCGGCCTCAGTGTCCCCAGCTCAACGCTGAGGGTTTGCCCTACGTGAGGGACTAATCTGTGTCCCCGCTGCATCCCAGGAACCTATGAACGCCCTCTTCCAACGGGGCAGAAGGGGGCCCCATGAGTGCGTTTTACGGGGGGGGGGGTCCTACAGTTTTCACCACATTCTCAAACGGCTCCTTGACCCACAAAGGCCGAGAACCCTTCACCAGAGAACCCCGTTTCTGTCCTGGCATTAATTATTTATCTATAACATTCAAAGGGTTTCCTGTAAGGGAGTGAGCTTCTCGTACCCAGAGGTGTTCAAGCCACAGCTGGACGCCCACAGGGAGCGTGAACCCGGGACACAAAGCCTCTGAGATATTGGGGGGCACTGGAGCCCCCCTCAGGGGACTCCATGCTGGGCCTCAGCACCCACTCAGGGGCTCATTAGAAACGCACTCCCGGCCCCAGCCCTGGGAAATCAGAACTCCGGGTTAGGGCCAGGAATCTGCATTTTTATCACACACCAACATTTGGGATTAAAAAGCAAAGGCTTTGCAGACCAGCTCTTTCACTTACTAGCTGTGTGACCTTGGGTAAATCGCTTAACCTCTCTGAGCCTGTTTCCTCATCTATAAAACGGGACGGCACGAGCTACCTTGCAGGGTTGTTAGGAGGGATAAACGACTCAACATGTGAAAAGCGCCTGGCACAGAACCTGAACTCCGCTCGCGGCGCGGCTGCAAGGCGGGAGGGGACCGCTCACCATCAGCACTGCGAAGTAGGTCAGGTGGTCACAGAAGCAGGACGTCTGGGTTTCCCTCCTGACGGTCTCGCACCCGGCACTGCTCCACCTCCCCGGGCTGCTCGCTGAGGAGGGGACGGCACGGGGCTCTGATCAAGCCCCGGCCCCCAGGGCCCCGTTCTACCCACCCCACAAGCACGACCGTGTCGCTTGGCGGATCCTAGCCCGCCAGCCCTCCCTCCTCAAAGCCCGCCTTTCTCCAGGAAGCCGTCCCTGACTAACTCCAGCTCCCGCACCCTCCGGGACCCCATCTTCCTCCCGCATCCTGGCCCAGCCCGAGACCCTTCCACACTCACGTGTCGGGTCTTCAACCCAGAATACGCACTGCAGAGTCACGTTCTTCTGTAGGGACAGGAAAGGAAAGCGGTCCCATGACGGTCCCCCCTTCCAGGGGCCAGGCAGAGGAAGCCTGAACGGGGTCCCGCCACCACCCGCCCCATCTGGACCTGACTGGCAGGTGCCCCCCGCCAGGCAATCTTTTCGTCAAGGACTAGCGAGTCAGGAGTGGGAGGGAAGGAGGACATGGCTAAGCAAGGACCCTCGTCCCCGTGGCTGGTTCGCTCACACTCACCGGCTGTGGCTGGTGCTGGAAGGTGAGCACCACAGGCTCTGAGAGGTTGGCCACTTTGGTGTCCTGCACGACGATCCCCAAGACCTTCTCACCCAAGACCTGGCTAGAATTCTTGTCCTAGATATAAGGGATTGGGGGAAGAGAGTAGGGAGGGGGTTCAGGGCTGAGAAGGCTCCAGAAGTGTCTTAGCCTCTCTAGATTACTGCCTCTCTCAGCACATTGCTTTGAGATGCTGAGTCTCCCTGGAACCAATTTTGCACATGTAGTCATTTACACTGTAGTGAGAACAACACCCCTTAGACCTCTCGCGGGGAGATTTGCAATTGCAGTTCAATTTCTGAGTTTACAAGGGAGGACTTGGACTCTTGGGGGAGGAAGCTCGGCTGCGTGCCTGCTTTCTGTCTCCCTGGCAGACATACTGCTTTCCCCAGGGGAGGACGTGTGGGTGAGGGCCTCGTACCTGGAACAGGGCTTGGCTGCTGAAGTCCACCAGGAGCAGCCGCTGCTCGGCCTCCCCCCTCCGGCCTTTGCTCCTCTGGAACAGCGTTCGGGGCAGCAGCACCGAGTACTCCAGCACTTCGCTCTGCGCCTCCTGCGGCCCAGACTCCCTTCAGGGCTCGGCCAAACGTGGACCCCCAGGCTCCAGCCCCCAGCCCCCCACACACCTCTTCCCTGGACGCTGCCACCTCTCAGCCCACCTCCTGCAGGAAGTCGTGCCTGACTCGCGACAGCCCTTCTCCTCCCTCCCCTCCTTGGCACCGGCTCTGGCTGGGGAGGCTTGGGGTTAGACCCCGGGGCTCCAGGGGACAAACAGGCCTGGGAGGACCACGCGGTGTTCTGCTGTCTGCCAACTCTGCATGTAGCAGCCTGGCGTGGTGGCCATCAGGGCGGAGTGGTGGCTCCCAGCTACCCAGAAACTCAAGGGCAGTCTCAAGATGGGGGTGCACGGACAGGCATTTGGGGGTTGGTCTTGTGTTCACACAGGTGGGCTCGGAGCAGGTTCCCCCCACTATGCCCAGGTAGGGTCCTCGATACCAGGGGCGACCACTGATTGAGGAGGGTGATCCTGGGGCCTGTGACCTTCCCGGGAGGCCCCGGGAGAGGCTGAGGTGGGACAGTGCGGGGCAGGGGGCGCTCGCAGCCCCACCCCCCCGGGTCCCCACTCAGCCACGCCTGCTCCCGGCCGGCCCGGCCTGACCCTGACCCTGACCCTGACCTCCTTCCCGGAGCGGATGTGCAGGTCCCGGAGGCCGGCTGCGGGCTGCAGCTTCCACACCGTGGCGTTGATCCCGTCCTCCTCGAAGGACACCGCGTCCCCGGTGAATCTCACAGACGTCAGCTTGGACTCCAGGCTCTGCAGCTGCCTGGCGGGAAGGAGAGAGCAGCCGGCGACTGCGGGGAGGGCGCCCAGGCTGGCCGGGAGACTGAGGCAGAGGGGACAGGCCGGGGGCAGGGGACTTAGGCAGATACAGCAGGATGAGGTGGAGACAAAGAGAGCGGACAGGGGGTCAGGGAGAGAAGACAGGACACAAAAGAGAAGGCCAGCCAGCTGGTGCGGGACAGGAAGAGTGACGTGGGGGCGGTGGGGAGACAGAGGCTGCTGGGAACAGGAGCCCACAGGAAAGCGGGGAGACAGGCTGCGGGGGGCGGGGGTCTCTCCTGGGCTGCAGCACACCGGGTTCGGGCCCCGTCCTGCCTGCACTGTCCCCTCCTGCGGCCGCGGAGCAGCCCTGCCCCTGGACGGGCGGGGGCTTGGCCTGGGGGCTGCACGGTGGCTCCTCGGAGGAAACGCAAAGACCAGCAGTGCAGGGAACATTCTAGCCCCGGGGAAGGCTGTGCTTACCGGCTGGCGGGGGTGGCCGAGGGCCTCCTCGAGGTCTTCCGGGGATGCTTCAGAAGCTCGCTGAGCAGCTGGAGGTCCCTTTTGAGCTCGCACATGTCGGCGGAGGCGTTGTGAGAGGCCCTGTGCGGAGGGTCTGGGGGGAAGGACAGGCCCACCCAAGGCCGTTGATGGAGGCTCCCTGAGCACACTCCTGTTTAATGCTCACGGGACTCCGCACGCTTGTAGCCCCACTTTACGAAGGGGAAACTGAGGGTCCGAGAAGTGGAGTGGACTCCCCCAAGGTGCTGCACTGGACAGCACCCCCACCGCCCCCCGCATTGTCACGGGCCTGCCCCTGCTAACACATCAAGGTGCTATAGCCCCACCCCTGCAGAGCCCACCCCAAACTTGAGGTGTCAGAAAGGAACCAGACCCCCCGAGTAAAGCCTCGTGCTCCTTCTGGCCACCCGCCCCGCCCTCCGCCATTCAGCACTTGACAGGAGGCAGGGGCCACACGGTGCCTGTCACACCCCGGGCAGAAGACACAGTCTCCAGACCTCAGAGTCAGCCTCGCTGCTTCGCTGATCTCTGACCTCTCTTGCTCCCCCTCAACCCCCCACCTCAATCCGCTGCTGGATTCAAATCCTGGCTCCCCCATTTGCTAGCTGTGCAACTGTGGGTACCTTCTCTGTGCCTCAGTTTCCTTCTCTGTGAAATGGGGATAAATGATCTACGTTGAAGCCAATGAAGAATCCTTCCGGTGTCCCCTGATACCCAGTGCCATCTCCCCACCCTGTTCATACCTCCTCCTCCTCCACCTAGACCGTCCCTGCAGCCTCGCCACTGCCCCCCAAAGCTTCCTGCGGCACCCCTTGGATCACACTCCTCCCCTCCTCAGACATCTTCAATGGCTCCCACTGCCTGTCAACAAAGCCCCGGCTTGGTGGCCCGACACAGAGCCCCGTCCTCTGCGTGCTGCCTTCCCTGCTCCCCAGACCTCTACCCAAGCTGCCCCTTCTGCCTGGAAGTCGCCTTACCGTGGAAGGAGAAGGTGAAGCCGGCTGCCCCGGGCAGGCTGGTGTTCCGGGGGCTCCACCAGGAGCTGACGGAGGTGGCGAGCAGTGGGGGGCCCCGGGCCCGGCTCTCCTCCTGGCGCCGGAAGCAGAGGAGGCCAGAGGCTTGGTCACTCAAGGGGAAGTCGCTCTTGCCGTAGCGGAGATGCAGTTTCCCAGCACGTCGGTTCCAGTAGAGGCAGAAGTGGTAGACGCCCCTGGGCTCGGGGAAGACTCGGGCGGCCGGGTGGGCTGCAGGGAAGGGGGCTCGGACTGCGAGCGCCTCGTCGGAGTTCTCGACGGAGATGTGCAGCTCTGGCGACTGTTCATAACGGAGGATGCTCCTCCGCGTCTGGTTCCGCTGGCCGCAGAAGCGGAAGTCTTCCCGGGGGCCCCCGCCGTGGGCGCCTGAGGAGGCAGAGAATACAGATGGGACCCCGTGGCAGGAGCCAGCCGGAGGCACGGGAGGGGACAGGCCCTGGGCTGAGAACACGTGGGCCCAGATCCAGGGACTCACACACGTTCCAAGGACCTGCACCACCTCAAAGAGTCTACGAAAGTATATTAGTCTTTCCTGCTCAAAAGCTACTGGCTTCAAAATATGAAAAGAGCAAACTGAAAATAATAATTTCAAAGGCAAAAAAGTATTTTTAACAGAAATAAAGTATTTAATGAGGCCATGGCTGCTACAGATGGTTGTGCAGGCTGTGCACTGCACAAGCATGCTCTAGCTGCAGAGACGAGTGGGGCTGATACACAGTCCGTGTTCCCCGCCCCAGGCTGTGCGCTGTGGGGCTGCGTCTGCCAGGAGGAACGAGCATCTTTTTCTTTTCTCCAAGATACCACCCACCATCTGGCCTGTGCTCGCAGGCCAGTGCCTGGCCCCGAGGAGGTAGCACGAGTGCCGCAGCTGCCCTGGACGTGTGGGCATTTTAACACAAGTGCCAACAGCCCCCAGGCGCCCCCAGAAAGCCTACCTTGGACCAGGAAGAGCAGAGTCGGCAGGAACAGCCCTGTCTGCAGCAGCGCTTGGACAGCCATCTTCGTCCCACCAGGTCACACTGAGCAGTCGCCGCCTGCAAGAGGCCAGGAGTGTCAGCTGGGGGCCTGGACCGCATCAGGCGGGGAGGCAAGTGTGGGGACAGCCCGGGCGCCTCCCCGGAGCTGCCGGAAGCTGCGCATCGAGAGGCGGTGGCTGAGTTCAAGTCCCAGCTCCGCCTTTCACTGCTGCGGGACCCTGTGCAAGTCACTCGATGTGGGGCTAATAAAAGTACCTCCCTGCTGGACCCAGGACGGACGGGGTAATGTTGCCTAGAATCTGGCGGTGCGGGTGCCACCTGGAACCACCATCTCGCCCCTGCCAAACCTGGAGGAGGTATAGAGTCAAGGGAGCTTTCAGAGTTGCCCCCAGCTATCTACCCCACCGCCATCCCTGAGACCTAGCTCAGAGGACACCTCCTCCAGGAAGCCTTCCTCAACTTCCCCCAGAGTCAGTCCCAGCCTCTGTTGGTTCCCACCACTGGCCAAAGCCTCCCGCAGGCCGTACGAGATGGCGCGTCCCTGCTCAGTCAGCGGGGGAGCTCCTGATCCATCTCTGTGGACAGGGCCTGGTGCCAGAGGTTGCTGCACCAAGGTTGTGGGGGTGGGGGGGCGAGGGTGAAGGAGCTGGAGGATCAGCATGTCCGTGGCGCCCTCTACAGGGTCTGGAGGGGAATGGCGCTTCCCAGCATGACCACCAGAGGGAGCCAGTTCCCAGATGCCGGAGCAGCTAGAACAGCAGCGGGATGTTGGTCTCTGCTGGGGACTAGGACTTGGTATTGCCGAAATGGGGGGAGTCCCCCACCCCGGCATTAAGTGAACACCTCTGTCCCCCCCCACGGCCTCCATTAGCTGAGCGTCTTCCATTTGCCAGCCTCTGGGTTGACCCATCCCAGCCCCACACCTGCACTAATTCTCACTCCAACCCTGTGAAGTGGGCACTACTGTCAGCCCATTTCACGGATTTGGAAGCTGAGGCCCAAGGGGTTAAATGACTTGCCCAAGGATGCTCTGGGGGCCAGGGGCTTTCCCTGCCTGTTCAGGACTGTAGTACCTGGCAGGGAACCTGTGGGCCTGGCACTTATAGAGAGTTGCCGGGTGGCCTGGCCCTCCGTGCTGCCAGCTGGCCCTGTGGCAAAGCCAGGTGCCCACGGACATAAACAGGCAACCTCATCCTGTGGGAAGCTGCATGTGGCCACAGTGACAGATGCACTCATCTGCCACAAGCCAGACGAAGGGATGCCTGGCAACCCACAGGCACATGAGAAGTCTGAGTTTGGGAGAAACCAAAGAGGGCTTTCAGGAAGGGGTGGCCTTTGAACTGAATATTTGAGGATAGCATTAAAGGCAGGGGTGTCCCAGGCAGGAGCTCGTTGTCTCCTGGACAAGTCCTCCCTTGAATGAACCTGGTCCCTTCAAATGACAGCCAGTCCCCTATGTCCCCTATGTCCCACCATGTGGATGGATCCCCAATTTCTCAGGCCTCATCGGTCCAATCCTAGGTCAAATGAGCTCATCATCTTGCCCTGGTGGCACTGCAGGACCCCTTGAGAGGATGTGAAAGTGTTTTAGGGAACGGCCACCGTCTCCTAGGTTGTGATTCACTGTGTCCCCTCTCCATATTCTGATTCCTTTCAAAACCACCTCCCGCCACCTCAGACCAGCAGAAGGAAACCCGACATCCGGGAACATGTCCGTCTGCACCCCTCTTCTCTTCTACTTTCTGCCAGTTCCTGTCACTGAGCACCTCTAATCTTTAGTCCAAATGTCACTTCCTCCAGGCAGCCGCCTCACCGCGACCACCACTCTCCACTTATGAACTCAAAGCTGACAGATCATTTGGAGAATTTGATTCAGATTTCCCATCTGAGACCCAAAGATGGCCAGTGACTTCCTGCGGTCACACAGCAGGCAGGGGAGGAGCTGGCCAGAGTCCATCATCTCTCTGGCCTGTGACCTTCAGAGTGAGCCCCACTGTCAGGAGACAAGGGTGCAGGACAGCGCGGAACCATCGCCTGCCATTGACCCTCCCGGATTGGCCCCTGAGAGTAAGGCAGAAGGCAGAGGGAGTGAGCTCCCCATCACTGGAAGGCCACAAGTGAAGCTGCACCACCACGGGGTGCCATGGAAGGGATTTAAACACACACACGGGACAAACTACCTCTGACACTTTGAGTGCTCCCTGGCTGTTTGAACAGCCCCTCTGAGGGGGACAACTTGGCCCCATCGGTATTCTTGAGGTTTGAGGGGGAGGGGCTGCTTGGCTTCCTTTAACCCACCTGTTGTTAGTGGGGTAGACACTAGAGCCAGACTGCTTGGGTTTGAATCCTGGCTGCCCCACTCACTAGCTGTGTGTCCTTGGGCTACTTACTCGCCCTCTCTGGGCCTCACTTTCCTCACCTGTGTAGAGGAATAAAAATCAAGCCCATCCCAAGGTTCATTGTGCGCTTTGAGCGGGGCCCTGACGGGAACTATCATGTCAGCTAAATATACCTGTCCCCAACTCAGCCCCCTGGGCCTGTCAAAGGCCCGCCCCTCCTCACCCTTCCCCCACCTCCATGCCTGCCCCGCCCCCCAGCAGCCAGCTCACCCCACAGAGCACCTTGAGGGGAAATTGTTAGAACATGAGGCTTCCTTTCCGGGAGAGCAACGGGGAGGCTGGAACCGCACCCAGAAAACTTCCCTCCTCCAGCGGAGAGCTGGCTGGCGACAGGAAGATTCCAACGCAGACGGGGCAGGGGGAGGGCACCCCCCGCCATGCTGTGCCCCCCAGGTCTGCCCTGCATACACGCACCTGCCACCCACCCCCGCAAAGGACACCGGGAGTCTCTCGAGCTGTGGAACCTCAGAACTGGCCCCAGCCGTCGAGCACCCAGTACGCAGCGCCGGCGGGGCCTTCGCCTGCCCTGGGCAGCGCTGGGACCCAGCGTGCCACCACAGTGATGCTGCCTGTCGCCAGGGCCGCGTCATCACAGCGAAGCCTCAGAGCCACCCTGTCAGACGGGTCCTGCTGCTCTGCCATTTTACAGATGAGGAAACTGAGGCTGGGGACGGGCCGTCTGTTCCAAGACCAGATGGCACAGGTGGTGCCCAGCCCTGCCCCCGGCAGAGCCGGCATTGGTAAAGGCCCCAGACATGCGCCCACCGCTGGCTTTGGGGTCCCCCCATAGAGAAGGGGAGGAAAGTGGGGAGCAGAGTTCCAGCCTGAGACAGGGGCTGGGCCCGAGCCCCCCGGGAGCCTCCCGCCTGCTCCCCCTTCCAGGGCAGCCGCCCTCGACCTCAGGCCTTCCGTAAACACGCAAGAAAGAACAGGCCGGCCCAGCCTGACACAATGGGGGCCGCGTCGCGGGGGCCCCGTGGGTCCAGCAGCGGGGAGGGGCCAGGGCTTGTGTGAGCCAAGACACACCCCCGACCGCAGGGCTGGCTGTCCAGGAACAGGGGCTCCAGCTCCAGCTCAGGCCCAGCCCTGCCCCCTGCATGGCGGGCAGGGGACCCAGGGCTCACTTTCTCCGGGGGGGCCTGAGTCACTTCCTCCGCCATCCCCGTGTGGAGCCGCGAGTCACCGCTGGCCCGGGCCAAGCTCCTGGAAAAGCCATTTCCTCAGAGGATGGAGATGCAAGTTGAGTGGACAGGCCCTGGATGACTCTGGGGTTAACCCTTCCTCCGGCGGGCGCCTCCCTGCCACCTCCGGCCGGGAAGACTGGACTGGTCCCCTCTCTGTCCCGCTCTCTCCCTTCACACACGCTGGGCCGCTGGCCGCCCCGAAATGCAGGCACCCCACCTCCAGGCTTGCTCGTGCTGTTTCCTGCCTGGGATGCCTTCCCCGCCCGTGACAGTCCAGCCCATCTTTGAGCAGAACTGAGACACACCTCCCCCGTGAAGCTGTCCCTGATCGCCCGTCCCCCACCAGAACTAACCGTGTTCTGGCCGGCCCAGGCCCACACTCAGCACGCCCCCGTTGCCATGAGGTGGTCACATCAGAGGTGCCCCCACCTACCCGTGGGTAAGACCCCCCATCCCCGAGTGTGCTAAACTGCGGACTCACAGGCCCTGCTCACCGAGGGGCTGAGGTGCGAGGCAGGGTGGGGCTCAGGAGCCTGGCTTTAGCAAGTGCCCCGTTAATGACACACCGCGGGCTTGGGAACGATTTACAAGCCGGGGACGGACGTAAGGAGAGCTGGTCAGAGAGGGGTGGGGACCCGCCCCACAGCCCTCAGCTGCTGCACGGCAGGGCCGGGACTGGGGGCAGCCTCGGTGCCTCCTCCCTACCCCTGACAAGCCCGTGTCACACCCCTCTCTGGTGGCCCCAGCATTTAGCAGGGTGCCGGGTACCTGGGAGCGGCCGCCTAAACGGGGAGAAGGGAGGGCGGGGGTGGTGGGAACAGAGCCAAGGAGGCGGGAACGAGGGAGCCCCGAAGTCAGTCTCCAGGTTCAAGCCTGGTCTCGCCTGTTTGGGGGCCTCCCGCTCAAAAGGGCCCTTGCTGGGACAGCAGGAGGGAGGGGACCCAGCTCAGCTGTCAGCCCTGCTGGCTCCTGTCCTTGGCTGTTCTCCGGCAGGCAGGGGCAACACGGAGCGCGGGCAGCAGGCCTTGGGAAGGAAGGATTCGGCCCGGGAGAGGGGTGGGCGTGTAGGAGGCACACGGGTGCGTGTGCCCGTGCGTGTGCGTGTGCAGGGGGGCGAGGAGGAGGGCTGGAAAGCAGGCGGGCCGTGGGGGCAGCTAGCTCCGCAGAGGAGGAAGAGGAGGCTGCTCAGACGGACGGCAGAGGCCGAGGGGACGGGCACGGAGACTGGCCCAGAGAGCGCCGGCCCCTGCAGGTGTTTCCTCCCTGGTGGGCGGGGCGGAGGCTGAGGGGACCCTCCTGCCAGTGGTTTCCAAACTTTTTTATAAAAGTAAATCTTACTTGGAAACACCATGTACCCGACAGCTCAAAAGACACGCCCTGTGAGACCCAGGTGGGACCCAGGGCCACACCCCACGCCCAGCCCAGCCCCCCCGGCCCCCCAGCAGCCCCCATGGCTCCTGGCGGCACAGCTGGC